AGCAGGAACAGCAGCAGCAGCAGTAGCTGGTAGCAGCAGCAACAGCACCAGGACAGTGAGGAGGTGCAGCCTGGAGGAGAAGCAATGCAGAGACTCCATGGCCCATGTCCCTTGGGACCTTCCAGGCCGCCTTCAACTTCCAAAACCGAAAATCTTGGCGCAAGCGCCGCCAACTACGGCCCACCCCCCTCGCCTCCGCCGTCTGCAGGTCACCTGCATGGATGGCCTCGCGCTTGACGTTTGGAGTTTGGGGCTTTGGGGCGTTCGTGGAAAGCTGGGATATAGGCGGATGTGTAGTGTTGGGTCGTCGGCTTGAGTAGTGCCGGAACTACGTAGCGCAAAAGAAAGGAGTTTAGGAAACTTGCCATGCATTAGGGGCTCAGCACAGCGACGGAATGTGAAAATGCAGCTTGCCCCGGCCTCGTCGCAGAGAGGTGAAAAAAGACGAGGACCAGAGCATCAGATCCATGTTCTTTGGGGTGTTGGGGTTTCCGGTTCCGGGGTTTTAGCACAAGGGCTTAGGATGTCGGCATGTTTAGAGTTTGGGGATTTAGATGTTGTTCACGTCGGGTTCTTCCTAGCAACCACAGTTTAGGGCTGCCTTTGCGTGACCAGCTCGAGTCACTGTTTGTAGGGTTTCGAGTAGGGCGGTTCTGAGTGGCTGCTGGATGCGTCGTCCCCTCGGCCCTCTGCGCATCGACTCCGGTGAGGGGGCTATGCGCTGCTTGCTGCGGTCTGTCACAGAGCTTGGAGCTGAAAGGGTGCAGCGTGACAGACTACCCATACTAGTAATATTACTGAAAACAATAACAGCAACAGTCACCCGCAGTTACAATGCTCACCACAGTAACGAGAACAACAACAGCAAGCTAATGGAAGAATCTTATCAAGTGCAAGGCTTCTCAGCAAGGTATGCACGATGCATGCTTTTGGCAGCGAGACTTCTGCCGGCACTGAAGGCAATTTCGCCTTCCGCTCCTTATTGGATGCGTTGAGGGGCGGCCGTTTTGGCCTGCCTCCTCCCTGCTTTCTACGCACTTGCACGCCTTTTCGGCTCAGAATCCGGACTCTTCCGAGCCCTCGCTTGTGGAGGCAACTTCGGAGCGACGTTTGAAGTGAATTCTGTCCTCTCGCGCCTGGAGCTCTCGGACACGAACTCAGTGCTCTCACGGCTTGCTTGTCGTCTGGCGCTTGGACCTTTCCAGAGAAGACTATTCGCAGGGTGCCCAAAACTTGCCTCACGGACACTCCACAGCTTCACAACACAACCATACAAAATAGCGTAAATAAACCGCATGCGCCGTATAAGCCCTAATGAAAGAATGGTGAAGGAGCAATATTGCCGGCAAAACTGCCGACAGCAGCAATCATGGCAAACTTCGAAGGCTGAATGAAGCACGAAGGAAGTGGAGGAATACAGGGGCCGTAGTAAGAAGACTAGGGTGTGAGGGGTGCATTACACCATTTTTATACTACTGGCTGTAGCGGGATGTTACTTTAGTCAGTCACACCCCTGTAAAATCGCCGTAGCGTTCTGCTGCTCTTGCATTGACTATGACTACCACTGCCGGAATGACTTGCACTACAGCTAGCGCTGGTATGGTCGCGACTGGCGAACTAGGCTACTATTTCATCTGACTCATTTGCCAGTATGATAGCTATTACAATCGGAATCGTCATCGAAATAGGCCTACCCTCTCGGTTCACCTGAGGCTCGTTGGGAGGCGGCGCGCGGCTTCTCCTGCTGGAGCTGAGTGTCGGAGTGTGTATATTAGACTATCTATCGTCTATCTCTCTATCTTACTACGTACATGTGTATACATATATATATATATATGTATGTGTGTATATATATATATGTGCATATATATATATACACACATATGTGTATATATATATATGTGACTACAAAGGGGTAGTTTTTCTGTTGACCCCGACCCCGCGAGTCTTAGGTAGAATGCATGGGTTCAGCTAAACCCTAAAGCGTGTGGCTTTGAAAGCTTCGCTGTAGGATTCAGTTTGGATCATCGCTGTTGCGGGTTGGGATTTCTGAAGTGCAACATGCAGCTCAGATCCTGCTCGGGTATGCAGAATAACTGTAACTGCAAAATACAGTAGTTTTGATAGTAATAATAGTAACAACAACAGAAATCAAAATGGTAGCAGTAAGAACCACAATAATAAAATCGACTAGTAATGTTATCTTTGGCCGGAGTCGCTACGGGCAATCTGTCCTTTTACATCCAGAAGACTCTCCAAACAAGGTTCGTCTTGAAACCTGCTACGAATAACATATGTGTTGGGGATCCGAACAAAGGACCCAGTTTGGAGAATCACCCTTATCCAACAGCACCAAAAACAAAATCACAGCGGTCATCATCATCATCATCATCACCATCACCAAAAATAACCATCATCATCATCATCATCGTCATCATCATCCTCATCATCAACATAATCATGAACATCATTTCTTAAGCGTCACCATCATCAGTGTCATCACAATCAGCATCCCCGCCCTGTCATTAGCATCGTGCAGCCTCTACCCCGTGCGTTTTTATCATCACCACAGCGCTTGCCTCGGCATCTCTGTCTCGGGGTGCTGCGACTCCTTGGAAAAGTCGCAGGACACAACAAGCCCGGTCATATAGTCGAAGAAACTACCAATCAAGCCTCTGCAGTTGAAACAGGATAACAACAAGAAAGCATGCGCAAACTGCAACGCAACAGTGAGAAAAACTGCCAACACCCAATGAACTCTTTGATCCACGACTAGTTCTAGCATGATTAGCATAAGTGCAGTCTTCTGTTATACTGGGTCTACGACGGCAACGGTCAATGACCAAATGCCTTTTGTGCGGTAGTGGTATCGTTCTGTCACAACAACACTCCAAAAATAATAACAACGATCGAGAGCCAAAACAAGTTTCTGATCACACACTTATCTAACTTACTTGCGTAGGCGCACTAACAAAGTCGCATGAACAATCCGAAGAGGAAGAGAGGATCTAACTGTCTACTTGCATGCCATGCAGAAACCTGTAACCCATGAATAACCTGAGCCTGCCAGCATTAAACTCGCTAAAACCCGAAAAGCAGCTACTTCACTGAGTCTGCAACTGATGCTAACATTCTAACTACTACGCCTGCCTCGGCTGTAGTCGCGGCTGCTGCTAATCTGCTCCTGCTGAGTATTCTCCTTGAACACTGCACTCTAAACCCTAACCCGAACTGCTTTGTTGTGCCATCATGACGCCAGGCCCCTCAATCGACCCAAAATGCAGCAAAACCCCGAAACTGTGGATTTGTATCGCCTGATCATTGCAAAACCCACAAAATCTCAGCAAATCGCTAAACCCCCAAAAAAAACAGTCTCAGGGGCGCGCTCTTGGGAACCACGTAGGACCTCCTCTTGGTTCCTAGAAGCCCCGGGGCAGCACCGTGCCTCGCAAAGGGAGGCTTTTGCAGTTTCAGGTTTGGCTTTAGAGACACAGTTGATGTTAAGGGGTTTGGGGTTTAGGGTTTGGGGTTTAGGGGTTTGGAGTTTAGGGTTTGGGGTTTAGGGGTTTGGGGTTTAGGGTTGGGGGTTTAGGGTTGATGACATCAATGCTTAGCATTACCCATAAAAAGGAGTGTATACCATTATTTCCATAGTTTAGGGTCCTTAAAGTAATGCTAAGGATTTGTATCATCAACAGTAGTAAGCTGACCCATGGCTTGTAAACCTTGGAACTAAGACGTCCCCCTTGCCTTGCCAAACACAAACCAGAGCGATTCTAGTCATGGCTATAGAGATCGTACCAACCATCGAACTAGTGGCTAGCTGTGGTTGCCTTGGCAGGACGGAACCAGGCCCTGCCAAGTGGGTCAATTCTAAACCCTGTCGTATCGGGTACCCAACACTGAGAGAGGCGCACCGGGCGTTCTTCAAGCCTAAGCCCCAAACGACAACCCCAAACCCCACCTGAAAGCTTTCCGCCACTGACTGAGGAGCTCCGGGGTGGTGGCTATGCTTGTTTGACAGAAGGTATCTCTGTTATGGTGCTGTGCCGTGATGATGCCCTTCTGAAGATGCATCTAAATCGTCTAGCCGTAATAAGTGTTTATCGCTGTACAGCTTGTGCATTGCATCCCTTGATACCGATAGTGCTGCAGCTGCATCAACCCATCTCTGACCACCATCGAAATCCCGGACACTCAAATTCTTAAAACTTTCGATGCTAGCCACATATCCTGAACCCGAAACATCTGAAGCCTGAAGCCTAAACACGAATCCTAAGAAAAACAACACCCTGAGCCGAAAAGCGAAACCCAATGTAAACCCCAATGCCATTGAATTCCCTGGGAGTTTGGGGGCGCAGCGGCTCCACACGAGCTGCGCAAGTGAGCAGGGGATGCACCTCTACAGCAAGGAGCTGTTGCTGGCTTTTGTTGGCGGCTGTAGGAGGTTTCTAAGGGCTTTTTGTATCGGGGGTTCATACACGCTTTATTGCAGATTTTGGGACTTGTGCAGGATTTAGGGGCTAGAGTTTCGGGGTTTGGGATTTGTGGTTGTGCCTAGGGCGTCGCGCTTCGGGCTTGAGGCACGAAGGAGTGTAGGTTCTGACTTGCAGACCCGGGCAGCAGAGATTTCGATGTAGGCTTCGCGATCTTGGAAGTTAGGCTGATGTCCGGGAATCAGTAAGGCGCGGAGCTGATTGTGGGATTACGAAACTCTGATTTGGATTCCGAAACCGGGCCCGAGTTGTATGGCAGACTGCTTCCGACGACCCTAAACCCCAGGCCTCCAACCAATCCCTTAAATCTCGAGTCCCGCCCCAAAACCTACACCCTAATAAGACCAATTAAACCCAAAGCCCTGGCAAGCTGCCTCGGTGATCCTGTCCACTGAAGCATGGTACCTGGCAAAGTGACTCCCAGACAGGCACCGTCCAGCGGAACCGCGCAATGGCGACACAAAAACCGGCGTGGAACAGGCAATTGCTTGCTGCAGCGGAGCTTGACCATGCCAGGTCCATGTATGATACAGGCATGCATCCACACACCCATACATAGACCTACACACGTACACACGTACACATGTACGTACATACGTACGTACATACATACATACATACATACAGACAAACATACACACATACACACANNTTTCACAGGTCGGCGGCGAAGTGGGCGTCACCTTCTTGCCGGATCCGACGGTGGCACGAGGCCGAGATATCATGAGGTTCGTAGAGGTATGTGATAGTACAGCTACGACATGCATGCATGCATGCATACATACATTCATGCATACATTCATTCATGCATGCATGCATACATGCAATACAATATAATACAGTACAGTGCAGTACAATACAGTACAATACAGTGCAATGCAATGCAATGCAATACAATACCATACAATACAATACCATACAATAGAATACAATACAATACAATACAACACAATACACGAGATACGTACAATACATAACATAATAACATACATACAATACCTAACCTACCTACCTACCTACCTACCTACCTACCTACCTACCTACCTACCTACCTACCTTCATGTTGATCCATCTCTTCGTCTGCGTCCCGTTAAAGCAAACGCCTGAACAGATGCACGTATGCCTTGTGCAGAACATCCAGACTGGATGTGCTGTGGGTGCCCGGAAGCCCGTGAGGCTCCGAGTCCCCGGCCATTCCGGCATGTTGCTGAGACCACACTCCTCGATGAGCTGAACCAGCTTGTTCTGGGAACCTGAATCCGAGGGCACGCAGAATCGACGACGTGATTGCAACAACGAAGTGATGGCAGTAAACTCTGCTCCTGCCATTGCAATAGTCGGTCCCTGCCGAGAAGTGATGCAGCCGGCAATACACGAACAGAGTTCACAGAGAGATTGCTTCTGAGGCTGACTTTGCAAGTGAAGCCAAGGAGTCCCACACTAAGCTTTGCGCTACACACACACACACAGTGTTTGGCTCTAACCTAAGGCTTCTGATTTGCAATCAACCACAACGGGAGCTCAATGCATGCTTCGGGTGCTTTGGATAGCGGTTAAGGGCTCCAGGCTGTAACAAACGATGTTGCAACATGCTACAGTATGACTATGCTATAACTTTCTTCACCAAAGAGTTATAACATTGTTGGCTCGTTAATTTTGTCATTTTTCCGGTCTGAAGTTTAGGGCACAAAGCTTTAACGATGGACTACTAAGGGTGCTTGCTGGGCTGGACGGCAATTGACATGCAGGGTTCAGGGTGGCGGGCTTAATGTTGAGGATCTCTCTGGGAGTTCTCACAATTGAAAGTTGCAGCAACTCAGTCAGACAGGTTTCGGGTTTATGAATTAAGCTGGATTTTTGGGATTTTACGCTTCAAGCTGTGGCCAATATTCCCGCAAACAACAGCGATGGCACATGCTACTCACAGCAAATCAGCACGATCGCAGCAGCACGGCGGTTGAGAAGCAAAACCCACACTCCACATCAGGAAGCATTTGCGCAGTGCATTACCGCAAATCGCAGGTCTTGCATGAAGCTGTCTCAGTACCTAGCATATGTCATTGTTGCCTCTCGGGGATGCGGTGCTATTACATGACGAAGCTTGTGGTCACATTCTGGTTGTAATGGCATCTATCATCAAACCTCTGTTACGACGATAACTATCATGTCTCCGGTCCTCATGTCCACGTAAACCCTAATCATCCCTGAACCCGCAGAAGCGCACCCGAAGCCCGCTACTGTCTTCACCGTTGGCTGAGCCCCTGGCCTCGCGATGCACGGCTACCGGCCTGCTGGGGTTGTCTTCTGCGGATGCATCGAACTTCATGTTTGGAGGGAAGCCGAAACAGGTCGTCTTCTGATTGATCGTAGAGGTGTTGTACACACAATGTCTTAGAATCTGGTGCTGAAGACCTTGTTTGAAGCTCACCCTCATGGGCTGCTCTCAACGTTGGGATTTTATTGGTACACTACGTAGGTGGAGCGACGGGCAACCGGAAGGTTTGTGTGATCTAACTCCTATAGCCGCCACAGACCTTCTTCGGATTGGCCCTGACCTTTCCAAGCAAATTTCCTGCCGACAAAAACCCATCGAGTCCTTGCCCACCCTTGGCATGTGGGGGTTTCCGAAAATAGGGGACCCTAATATAGTACCCCAAATAGTCGGATCCTCATTATAAGGACCCCAAATAGTAGGATCCTTATTATTTGTACCCCAAATAGTAGGATCCTCTTTACAAGGACCCCAAATAGTAGGATCCTTATTATAAGTACCCCAAATAGTAGGGTCCTCATTATAAGGGACCCCCAAAATAAGGTACCCCCTAATTTTCGGAAAGTCCCATGTCGGACCTAAGGCCTGCACTAGCACCGCAAGGCAGAACAACCCTGAACCCAAAGCCCTACGGCAGAAGCCGAAATTATTGATTACCAATATTCTTCCTTAGGGTTCCTTATTATCATAACCCTATAAAAGGGGCGCAAAATCCTATTCTAAATATCATGCTTTAGGGTTCCTTATTATGATAACCCTATAAAGGGGCGCAAAACCCTATTCTAATTCTTAAGGCCCCTACAGTAGTCAACTCCACCGTAGGGCCTACTGCACCCTATGGACCTGCAAGCGACTCCCAAACCACAAAGCTCAAGCCTTGCCTCCGTTTCAGGCGACCTTAGCCCAGTTGGCCTGTCAAGGTGGTCGCCGTAGGGGCTCTAAGTTGGAGCTTCTTGGGATTTGGGAGGTGGGTTGGGGTTATAGGATTTAGGGTTAAGGGTTTAGGTTCCGATTGGGGCTTGGGGTATGTGGGGTTTAGATCCTCTATGACATGAAATGGTGGGGGGCGGTTTGTGCTTTACCTTTCTGAAGATTGCAATATGCTTTATACAATGATTTCTGAGCCTTCTTTTACCGGCTTTATGTGCTTCATTGGGGTCCTTTGGTGGCCGGACGGGGTACAACACCTCCTGGTCTTGCCGCTGCGATAGCAAGGGAACACCCACGACCCCTGACGGCCAGGCACGACCGCGACCGCTGCACGACAGCTTCTGCTCTGCGGCAGAGCGGGCCTCCTTGCACTTTCAAGCCCTATGTCCACATCGGCTCCGCCAGAGAAGTCGCTCAGAAACTCCATGGCCTCGATTGCCAGGCGCACGCTTTGATAGAGGGGAAGCCAACACCGAGAGAGGGATGGGGGATTTGGGTTTTGGGTGGCTTATAAGGTTTTAGAGTTCAGGGCAGTGAAAGGAAGCAGCTGCTTTTCCTGGGTGGGTTGCGGTAAGCGGCTTGAGGCTTCGAGTTTAGAGTTTGGGCTTCCAGTTTAGGGGTTAAGGGTTTAGGGCTTCGGAATTTCGTCGTTGCCTGGGCTCCGACTCAGCATTCCGCTGAACTCATCATTTCCGTCCCCAGGCTAATGTCCCGAGTTCACGGCCCCATGCGACTTCTTCATCCAGGGTTGACGTGGTTTGGGTCTGGCTTTTGACGTTTGGGGAATAATGTAACATAATGTAACGTATCATGGCAAACAGTCAATGTAGTGTGGTCACTCCCGAGGTTTAAGAATCCCTAAACCCCAATCCAGTACTTAAACTTAAACCCCAACCCCCCTAAACCCGAAACCCCGAACCCCAATTCCAAAACCGGCAGTCGTAGCGCCGCGGGATCCTGCAAAGCAGAACTGTCGCATCCGGGCCTTGGCGAGCCATTGCGAGTCATCCCAACCTGGCCAAGTGCCGCCCAAGTGTCCCTCTGGGACTCCATGAACCCGAAACACTGAAGTTTTTGGAGAGGTTTTGGGTTAGTAGTAGGCTTGATAGTTGGGTTTAGAATTGCGTTTAGGGCTAATAATACAGGGTTCTACATTATTGAGGGCTTACTTAGACGAGGGTGTATGGTGTCTAATACGGTAGATTTGGCGGGTCTGCTGCGAATTACGACTATGGGCATCAGGAGGAGCTGCTGGGAGATTTCCGTGCTGGGGGAAAAGGTTCGCCATTCAGTTGGTCCGGGCTCGAGCCCTTTAGGGTTTCGAGTCAAGGGTTTAGGGGACGGGGGAGTGGTGATGGCTGGCTTCGTGGCTGCAGCCGCAGCACCCTCAGCTAGGACGAACAACCTCATGACCTCTCTCTCTCTCTCTCTCTCTGTCAGGTATCCGGCAGTCCTTCACCGACGGGTCGGCTGGCCTGACAATGAAAGCTTCATAAGCACCGAACTCACAAGAGTTCTTCTCGAGTTTAACAAACTTGGGGTCCGTGCCCGAAGATGCAGTGTTCTTTGCAAACGCAGAGCAACGGCAAGCATATACTTTCCATGTCACCATTGTTGCAAGTGCGGCCCTGCTTCTCCTCGCAACTCCCTCCAAAACTGATGAGCTTGCCACCATGCATAGCACAGAAATCGCTGAGACCAACGCAGGCAATAGTTGCAGACACCCCAAACCTTCGAATCCAAACCCCAAACCCTGAGACCGAAATCAAACACCCGGAAAACCCAAACACCAAACCCAGAACCCCCAAACCCTAAGCCCCAAACTCTCAATCCTCAACTCCTAAACCCTTTTCTTCTCCGTCGAGTTAATACCTTGCAAAGGTTTTTGCGCAAGACTCGGAGTCCATCTGTAGACAAAGGGATATATAATGATATCAGCGAGCTCGTCTGCGACAGGTCCGTACGCACACGTACTTGTTGGCGCAGCTTCGTTGTTTTCTGGCCCTGAGCAGGCCACCGCTTGGTAGACAAGCTACTGTTTCCCTGCACGCGTTTAAAGACGTATGTAAACGGCTTGGATTTGAAAGTAAGATCGAGAGACGTCAGAATTTACAACTTTTTGCATGTACCGTGAGGTGTGTTGTGCTGAGGAATATCCGGCAACCGCACATGAGGATTTGTGCACCGGTACAGACACTGCATTGCCTGTTGCGGCCTGGAATTGTTATACAAAGTTGACAAGGGCAGCGCGCAAAAGGCGCAATGCTTGAATTTGTAATACTTAACATTGTATGTCGCCCTGTTAAGCATCTTGGCGTGCTTCTCGCTTGGAGGGTCCGCAGACGTCTTCCATAAACCCCTAAACCCCGAAACCCTAAACCCGGGCAGGGCCGGTGTCAGCAAAGAAAGTCACAAACATCGGGGGGACAGTCGGCAAACAGGAGAGGCGGAAGTCACTAAACCCTAAACCCCTAAACCCTAAACCCTAAACCCAAAACCCTTTGGGGGGTCTGGATTTTGACATGCAGCCCTACAGATGTTGACTCGCAGCTGGCTGCTTGCTGACTCGATTTGCCGACTTCGGCCGGCGTTTGCTGAATCACGCTTCTCTGCCCTAAACCCACCGACCTTTGGCGAGGCTGAGTTCCGCACGCCGTGGACAGGCCTTGGTGATGGAGCCGCTGGACTGCTGCAGACGCTCGCCTCGGGGTGCTGAGGAGGGTTTCGGTGTTTATGGCTTCTTGGGGGTTTAGGGTTTAGGGTTTAGGGCTTAGGGTCTAAACTCAGGGGATATAAAGACTTGAAAGGTTTTCGGGTTTCGGGGATTTTTGGTAGTCGGTTTGGGAATTCGGCTTTGGGGCTTTAGGTCCCCCAAACTGACCACAAACTGGCAAACACCAAAACCTCAAAAATCGAGGCTCAAAGCCCTAATGTAGGGGCCTTAATAATTAGAATAAGGTTTTGGGCCCAATGATACTATTTTTAGAATAGGGAGCCCCCAAAATAGCATTGGTAATTATTCAGGCCTCGATATTGCGCCCCCAAAGGCTTCAACCCTGAACCCTGCAAACCCTGCACGCCGTACCCGGACACTTCGGCTGAAGTCAAAGCTGGCACCAATTTGAGCATCGAAACCTCACTCTACCTAGACGAGGATGCTTTCGATGTTGGATTAAGCTTTTCCTGACATGAAGCTGTCGTGCTGCTTTTGCAAGAATGTAGCGCTACTACGGCCACGTATGTCACCCTCACTCTTCGCCTGGGAAGCATTCTTGGATCCATCATTTTACTGTCTGGGCTCCCCGCTTCCGAGAAGAGGTCCCTCCGCAGGCAGGCTTTCGGATTTCAGTCTCGCTCTGGCTTGCTGTTCTTTGCTCGGGCTTGGCGCTTCGGTTCCAGGATTTAGGGTTTAAGGGCTCTGAGGGTTTAGCGTTTGGGAATTGGGTTTAGCGCTTCTGTACATGCCCACTCGAAAGCTTTCGCATGAGGGATTGAAGGCTTCAGCTTCAGTCTGCTATGGAACTGCTGGTACTGTGATTGCCGACGTCTCTAGTTCGCAACTCATGTCATTGTTTCTTACCCCAACCAGAAACTGGTCCTGACAAAATCCAGTCCAGGTTTTCCCCAAAGATAAACCCGAAACCCTCGACCCCCGAAGCCCGAAGTCCAAGTCCCTAAACACAGGAAACTCTTGAATGAATTTGCAAGGTAGCCCCTCGCACGAATCCTAAAAGCCTAAAACCCCCAAAAAAACCCTCCATGTTTCCCTTAGGGCCGAAGCCCTAAACCCCCCACCCACCCCCCAAAGACTCCAACCCAGCGTCTTTGCACTCTTAAACTAGTCTGGTTCCTTATTGAGGCCATATTAAAAGAAGATCACTTGTAATCCTTATTGGGGCTTTGTTATAATAAAAAAATCATGTTTAATCCTCATTGGTGGTTTTCTTATAATATAAACTGATCACTGTCAATCCTTATATTGGGGTTTTGCTGTAACCAAAAATGTAAAATTTAATCCTTTTTGGGGCTTTATGATAATAAAAAACATGTAAAATTTGATCCTTTTTGGGGCTTTATGATAATTAATAAAAAAATGTAAACGTTGGATCCAACAAGCACCCAGTAGTGGCCTCGATAGGTCGAGGTGCCGAAGATCCGAGGCCTCGGCAAAAAACACCCAGTGCTTCGTAAATTCGGTGCCGCTCTCTTTAGGGCTTATAGGGTTTATAGGGTTTAGGGTTTAGGGTTTAGGGTCTGGGTCAGGGTGAAAGATTCAGGTGCAACAACACCTCTGTCTGTCTGTGTGTGTGTGTGCGTGTTGTCTCGGTGCTTCCTTTTAGGCAGGCCTTGCTTCTTCGTGCTTCTTTGCATCAAGGCTTCTTATTTCGGTGCTGGCTTTCAATCAGGGCTGACTATTCACGCGCTCCGAACCACGGTTTTTTGGTGTGGTGCTTTTAATCACTGCTTTCTACGCCTTTCTACAGTCTTTCTGCGGTAGCTACAGAATTTCTACAGGGTTGCATTAAGAGGGCTCTCGGTGCCGATGGGCTTCGGATCTTGGGCTTTAGGGTTTAGGGCTTTAGGGTTTTAGGGTTTTAGGGTTTGAGGGTTTTTGGGATTTAGGGTTTAGGGTGTTGGGTTTAGGGTTTAGGATTTAGGGTTCACGGCTTAAGGTTGCGAATCGTATCCCAGTACCTTCAAAGGCTCTTCGTGGCTTTGGCCACAAGGACCAGAGTTTGCAGCGGCATGCTTAAAGAACCGGCGCACAACTAGGAAGCAAGGCTCAGATATATGGATTGTTCGGTATGTAACTAGATAGTTAGATAAACGGATGGACATATATGTAAACACACACACACCTATATATATATATGTATGTATGTACATTTTCACTTATTTATTGCATTTTTGATTCGTTTATATATATGTATGCTTATGTTTAATTATTTGCCTTATGCATATCTATATTATAGAGCGACAGAGAGAAGCCCCGCAAACATCAGTGCACCAAAAAAGCCTGGAAACAGGTAACCCTGCTTGCCAAGTTCCCAGCTCGCTCAGAGACTGGTGCGGGAGCCTGAACCCGAATACACACCAAATATTTAGGGCTTGGGGTTTAGAGCTTAGACTTTAGGGTTTTGGGCGTACAGATCTTTAGGCTTTCTACATGGTTTGAGCAAAGGCTTTGCGGCTCAGCGTGTCAAGTGTTGGTTGCACTTGTTTAGCTTTGGGACTTGGGTTCCAGATGTGGACGAGAGGCCTTGCGCAAGGGCACGTCTGCATGCTCCTCCGAGAAATCCGCGAGGGTTGTCTTGGCGTGGGGCGTACAGGTTTTCCGCATCAACGCCCGCCAATCTAGGTGTCTTGGAAAACGTCTGCTTGGCTGGGATTTCGTTTCAACATTCAAGGAGAGAGGGCGTTGGACTGCAGAGCGTTTGCGGGCAGAAGCGCGCAGGACCAAAAAAACGTGTTGCAGTGCACTCGACCTCGACACCTAGTGACAGCACTGCTAAAACTCATTACGCAGAGGCCGTAACAATTAGAACTGGGGTTTTTTGGGTGTACTATGCTGTATTGATGATAGGAACGTAAATAATCGTAACAGTCTTGGTAAGTGTTCAGACACCGATGTCAAGGCCAGAGGGCACCGGTCCTGTAATGGATTTCTGCTTAAGGGTTTGGGCTTAGGTCTTAGGTACGACACTCACGACGGCTAGGCATGTAAACACCTTCCGCTCTTTCGATGGACATCTACTTGTAAAAAGGTCGCACGCCTGATTTTGGACGCTTGCCTCAAAAGCAACGCAGAAAGAGTGTTCTATTGAGCCATTGCTTCTACATACGGCTTTGACATAACATGTGCAGACCCCAACTCGACCCAAAACCGGGAACGCTAGACCGGAAAGCCTTGAAACACCCTATAAACCCTACAACAAGAGATCCTAAGCCCCCCCAAAGGAACCATAAGCAAACCTTCCAAGGAACACCAGGACCCCAAACCCTACACCCTGAAGCCCTAAGCCATAAAAGCCAGCCAAGCCCCTCCTGGCTTCTACTTGGCTCTGGTGGAGGTGCGTGAGAAATCACCAAGGGAACCTGGCATCGGTTTGCCTGGGGCTCCTTCACAGGATCTAGAAGGGTTATCTATGAGGGTACTGTACGGCTTTTTCGGGTTTGGGGTTTTGGGTTTGGTTGGGCTTGGGGTTTCGGCTGAGAGCCCAGGCTTCGAGGGCTTCGGGGTTAGAGTGTCTTTTTAAAGGGCTACTGGTACCGTAAGCATTCCTTTCAGGGTACTTTGTCCATTCTGGGCTCATCTTGTTACAAGGGGCCTCGTAAGGCTTGCTTTTAAGAATCTTCTCGGGGTCTTGGGCTGTTTTCAGGGTCTCTAGGGTGTTTACGACAAGGGCTGCGTAGGGGTTGCGGCGCCTTACAAGCATTTCCGGGCTGATGGCTTTAGGTCTGAGCATATAGGGTGCTCAGTTCTAGGAGAAAGTGGACGGAGGACATCAAAGCCTTTGCTTCAGAGCAAGAAATGATGTTACAGATGCTTGTGCCCGCACTGACACTGATGCTAGCTGTTCGGGTAGGCATGACGACCCTTTCGAGGAGACAGCACCACGATCATCGTCAAAGCAATAATCATGAGCATCATCGTCACAGCTCCATCGTACTAATACCGTACAGCAGTACCAGCAACAACAAAGACAAATATTAAGTAAACCCTAAACCCTAAACCCTAAACTGTGGTTACTAAGAAAGGTCAAAATAGGAATAGGTTCGCTCCGAATGGCAGACCAAAGGCCCCGATGGACGGACCTCGAAGCCCGGCCGTGGTCTCTGCGGTGGCGCCACCGCACTTGCGCCTCGCAGCCGCACGAGGGCGACCGTAGGAATTCGAGTAGCCGAAGCCCAGGCTTACGTATCGGCACGTGTGGAATGCTCTCAATTTTTCTATGGAGGTGATACAACTGTTTCTGTAAACATGCAGCAATCTGCATGCATGCATACGTATGTCCTCAGACAGGCTACAGGATGTATTATATAATCGTTAGACAGACAGACAGACAGACAGACAGACAGGCAGGCAGGCAGGCAGGCAGGCAGGCAGACAGACAGACATATGGGCACTGGGTATGTGCCTACGCCAGAGGCGGAATATTCGTGGAACAGAGTAAGACTGAGCAGAACAGAGTGTGCGCAAGTATACGCGTATGCATGCATGCAACTATGGCATCACATAGTCTACCTGATTCATACACAGTTTAGTGAAACCTGGGACACAGCGGCAGCAACCACGCCTGCTTGGACTTCCTTGGTATCCCACTCCCAGCGAACCTGTCAATCTGCGTCTCAGTCATGCTTTGGTTGAAGCATCTACTTCTAACATTGCCGAAAGTTCTTGCATGCTTTTGTGCCACTGGTGTGGCTGGCATTCGTACCCACATCCAGACCAGTCGTACAATAGTCGGTCTATAGTCGCAAGGGAGCGGTAGCAGTAGTCGTGGTCGTCGGGGGTGGCCGCGATTGTGGCATCGTCGCGTCGTGTAGCAACGAGTCCCAGTAGAAGCAGTATAAGCAGCAGCGGTGGCTGTAGCAGAAGATGTTGTGCATGTTGTCGAAGTCGTGATGGGCATGGACGACAACGATGATGAGGGTGATCCTTGTGATGCTGGTCATGAGGCATGATGCGGAACCCTCACACACCAACACCCATCACCCTGTGCACGATGTTCAATATGGTCTTTGTCGCAGATTCTGGCCGCTCATGTTACCACTGGTTCGCAGACTGACTGCCTTTACGACATGCAAGATGAGGCCGCGCACATGTCTTAAAGCCGCGCGAGGATAACATTAAAGGTCGACAGAAATGCATGAACCATTGTAACACAAGGCCAGTCTGCAAGAAACCTACTAGATGCGACGTACAAGGGACATAGACCGTAAGCTTTAATGAATTGCGGATCTTGCCTGTGGTGCGCAGGCCACTGGTGCACTAAAGAGAAAAGAAACCACAGTAAGGCCACCAAATCGAAGCGCACAGCAGCACCAGAAAACAAATCCATCTCAGGGGCACCAGCACCTGAACAAAGCAGCTTTGGATCCCCCCCAAAAGCTAAAGGAATCGAAAGCCCCACATCTAAACTGGCAAACCTGACCTTAATCTAAACCTCCCGACCCTAAACTTCACCTAAGCCTCGTCTTCAAGCCCACATCCCTGCCCCAAACCCTAGAACCTTAAACACCAAGCCTGAATATTTAGTACTGAAATTCCTCAGGGCTCCTTATCATAACTATGGTATAACATTTTTCTTATAACATACCGTAGAACCCTACTCCTTATTATAACTGTAACAAAATATTTTCCTTATAAATAACCATAGCTTAACATACCGTAATACCACACACACCACTTCAATCAATCGAAGGCCCCGCACCTGCGCCCTCTCGGGCTGCCGGCCCTCGGGCGGCCGAATCGGCTGGTGAACCCGGCCCTGTTTAGGCTGGCATCGGGGCCTTTCTGTGGTTGCTATGGAGTTTTATGATGTTTCACAGGGGGCTTTGTAGGGCTTTCGGTTTCATATAGGGGCTGGAATGTAGGGTTTCGCAGCGATGACGATGATAAGCCTTCTTCACACTCCAATCAATACTTTCGCCTTTCAGCCGCCGCTATCCGCTATCTTCCCATGGTAGCACCTGGTCGGTAACTGCCTCTGAATAGCGATAGTAAGTACGGCTAAGAATAACCTTAGGGTAACTGGCCTTCTTGCGTACTACGGCTGATGGAAGACTTTTGGTTTTGCCCGGAGATGAGCCTTCTCCACCGAAGCGCCAGAGGCCGAGAGTGTCGAAAGCGGTGCACAGGATGCTGTGGGAGCTGTTGGAGGCGCTCCCGATGCCGGGGACGCTGGAGATGGCGGAGATTCTGGAGCCATCGAGGATGGAGTGCCAGGCCTTCCGATAAGGACAGGGCATGAGCATATGAATTTTTCAAGATGTAGCCTCACGTCTTTCTGCCAGATGTTGCAATGGAAAATTGTCTGTTTATCTGTTGCTGAAGCTGTCGTACTGGCCATGGGTCACCATGATTATGATGATGAAAAAGACTTTCGATGTGATGCTGGAGTAATGCTGTTCACGATGTTGGTTCTGTTATCATGATCATTAGGGATCCTCTGATGACGATCGCCGCAAAGAAGATGGTGATGACGACGGCGGTCATCATTGACTGCATTGACTCTGGCGAAAGATGCTACACTAGACGCTTCACAAAAACATTGCCATTTCTACAGTACTTGCTTCCCTTCAATAATCTTATGATAATTATTGCTCCTCCTTCTCCTCCTACTACTACGACGACTGCGACTACTATGACCATCACTTCGACTGCGACTCCGACTACGACGATGACGACAACGACGACGACGAAGACAACCACTGCGATTACGACTACGACCACCACGACCACCACGACCACCACGACTATGACGACTACCACTACTACTACGACGACGACGACTACTACTACTATACTACCAATACCACTACCACTACCACTGCCACTGCCACTAGCACTAGCACTAGCACTACAGTAGCACTACAGTAGTACCAGCACTTGCACTAGCACTACTGCTACTGCTACTGCTACTGCTACTGCTACTGCTACTGTTACTGTTACCACTACCACTACCACTACCAC